TTCTGCCAAAAACATTTGCCATTTCACCGTTCTGTAATCTATTTAAAAAACTCATTGCCTTAAGATGGCAGTTAATAATTAGGTAGGCTAGAGACAAAGCATATTTTGATTTTATCAAGACATTTCTTAAAAATCTATTTTGAAAACTTTGTAATCAGCTTGGAAGAGAAAGGATTTTGCAGCGACTACTCTCAAAGGTTGAGCAACTGGCCCCAAAGCTTCCCTAATTAATGGGCTGGTGGCAAGATACAGGAGGGTTTCTAGAGGAGTGGCGGGAGATCTGTCCTTGCCCTGCTTTATAATAACATGTCTGGAATGACACATGGCCAGGCTGGCTGAATTAAAATAATGAAGCAGCCTCCCAGTCTGGAAAGAGCATGAAACTCTGGAATCAGACAAACTTATTGTCTATGTAATTTGGGATTAAATATTTAGAGTTTCTGTGTTTCAATTTCCTTATCTGTACAATCATTATCTGTTAGGGAAAAAAAGAAAATATATATAAGGGGACATCAAGCATTTTGTAGAACAAATAAAATTAAAGTGCAAGTTTATTTTGGCACAAGATCTTTTTTTTTTTTTTTGGAGAGGTTTTGCGATAGGGCGCATGCGCTGGTCAGACAGACAGAGACAGAGAGACAGAAAGTGAGAAATCACCCCCACCCACCCACCGGGGGAGATGGTCACGCCGCAATCCCTTCTCCTCCATTCTCCTCTCAGGATCTTGGGCACGCACGCACATGCGCCCAGCGTGAGTTTTAAGCCACCGGGTCTGGGACGCGAACTGCGGTCGACTATGTGGGAGTCCAGCGAAATAGCCATTACGCTAACTGCTGGTACCCAGCACAAGATCGTTTTGAAATACATGCATAGATTCTTGAAGACCCCTCACCCCATTTATGATAGGCACATGGAAAGTACTCAAAAAGTGATATAAGATCTGCAGTTTATAGGAGTGTTGTATCATAGAATTATGGTCTAAAATTGGGGCCGGCAGGTGGTGCTGGTTATGGGTGCTGGACTCTCACATGGCTGACCACGGTTCGAGTCCCAGACCTGGTGACTTACTTTCTCACTTTCTGTCTCTCTCTCTCTCTCATGCTCAGTCCCTCTCTGGTCAAATTAAAATAAATACATAAAGTTAAATAAAATAATTCTTATAAAAAATAATTATGATTTAAAATTGACACATGATATAATAGAAAATGAACTAAGATAGTACTGAATGTTATAGAGGGAAGATATATCAAATCCTATAGTTAAATTTTTGTTGTTGTCTTTTGTTTTTGTTTGGAGAGAGATTTTTGCTATAGGGCGCATGTGTTCACTGGAGAGACAGAGAGACAGAAAGCAAGAAATCATCCCCAGGAGAGATGGACACACCACATTCGCTTCTCCTCCAATCTCCTCTAGAAATTTTGGGCATGTACTCACACACGCCCAGGATGAGTTTTAAGCCACCAGATCCGCAGTCGACTACGTGGGAGTCCAGCTACATAACCACTATGCCATCTGCTGGTCCCAAGTTGTTTTTTTCCTTTTGGTTTTGTTTTAAATTCAGTTGTGTCATTATAGCATGGGGCTTAACAGCAGCTGAAGTGAAGGTTTCTGAAAGCGTGTAATGACAGAAAGTTTATTACAGAGACAATGGAAGGATGCAGATACTTAATTATTAGGTGTAATTTTATACTACAGAAGCATATGTTGTGTGTAAATCCTGAAAACTAGTAAGTGCAATACTCTTTGCCATGACCACATCCCATCTCAAGCACCATGCTCAGTTCTGAATATCGTATTTTCAAGAATAACATCCACGAAATATAGTATAACCTGAAAATGAAATCAAAATGGCTAACTGCTCATACAAGAGAGGTGAAGAAGCCAGGAAGAATAAGATTAGAAAGGAGAAATTCAGATAGAATATGATAACTGCCATCAAACATACAAAGGACAGTAAAAATTGAAGAGTAATAGTAATAACTGACATGTACTGAGTATTTACTAAGTACAAAGTAGTCACTGTTTTCCTAATTTCTCAGATGAGAAAACTGAGGCAGAAAGAGGTTGTTACAGGCTTATAGTCACATAACTAATAAAAGTTGGTCCAAGTTTCACCCAGCTGGATGTCCCCAGATCCGGGAGTGATATTAAAGCTCTTTGACAAATATTTCTAGTCTTGTAGGATCATGGTAAGATAGTACTCCCCCAATTTCTTTGAGGTTGGTTATGGACATATGACCTGCTATAGCCAATACATACATCATGTTCCTCACTTTAGCAATGAGTTAAGAGTCTGTGAATAATTTGCCACATACTCCTTCCACCACATATGTGTAGAGATAAACCTCTGTCAATCGAGGTCTCTGAGGGATAATCATGTGCAGAGCTGGTCTGGGGACCATGTAAAACAAGTGGCAGGAGCAAGAAACAAGATGTAACTGATTAAATCCCCAGATCTGGGGATTGTTTGTTACTGGGGCAATAACAAGCTTTTTCTGACAGATATAAGAGTCAAATACTTAAAATAGTTTGGAATAAGAAACAGTTATTCTTATATTTCCAGAGTTACGAACTAAGAATATTTTGTAGAAACTACATAGGTAAGCAGATTTCAGCTTAATCTAATTATTTAAAGAAAATTGTCATTTCAGCCAGTGGCGGTGTGGTTAAAGCAGTTGGCTGTGCAGTTTGAGTCCTGGATCCAGTAGCTTGAAAAATATGCCAGGCTTGTAAGTATGTGTGCTCAAAATCCTGAGAGGAGAAATGGAGAAAAAATTATGACATGGCCATCATCCATGAGGGGAGTGTGTGTGTGTGAGGGTGGAGGGCTGCTTTCTCACTCTCTCTCTCTGTCTCTTTCTGTCAGAGGATGAGTGCATACATCCTCTGACAAAAATTTTTTAAATAATAAAATAAAATAAAAGTTGTCCAAAAGTTACTTCATGAGGTAATGAACTCCCTGATGTTGGTAGTATTTAAGCAAAGGCCAAGTGATCATTTTACATCTAACTAGCAAAACAGATGGTTTAACTAAAGAGGTTGAATGTAGTAAACACTTATTGAGCACCTCCAATGTCCCAAGCATTCCAGCCACAAAGATAAATCCAAACATACAATCCCTACCCTCAAGGAAATGACCAGCATATGCAAAGCTAGATAACCTCTGTGGTCTCTACTAACAGTGCGATTCCACCAAACTAGAGATAATAACATGGCCTGGTGGAACTGACAGCAAGTCTGAACTTACAAATAACCATGTAGCACCAGAAATCCTGCTGATGCCTAGGTTGTATTATTATTTTTCAATTAGGAGCCAAAAGTATAGGGTTTGCAAAAGAGAAGAAAACGGCAGAATTGCTGGGTTTAAAGGAGGAACTTTTCCCTTTCTCTAGTTACCATTCTTAAATCTTGCAACCCAGGCATATTATCCAGCTTACATCAGGGGCGTTCAGCACAGGGAATAGCAGTGACTCATAGCAATTGTTACTGACCTTTTCCATCACTTCTCTCATCCCTGAGAGTCAGGAAGGAAACATTTCAATACAGATCAAGTCAGACCAGAAGAAAGGGAATAACCTTTCTATAGGGCTATCCTTCAATTGAGAAATCAGCCAATGCCTTTCCAACAGATTAGCAGTTTCCCCTAAAAGGCTGTGATGAGCAGGGGCCTTAGAAAGCCCACATACAAAGGATGATGTGAAAAATCACAAAATTAAATGAGTGTTCCGAGGGACACTGAAATCATTTCACAAATGGCACAACTCAAACTTCAGTACTTGCTTTCCTGGTGTTATCAGTAGTTAAAGGTTTGTTGTTGTTTTTTAACTTTCAAAAATCAAAACAGTGGAGAAAGATGTCCTTTTGCTGGCTCACTCATTTAGTTGTTTAATGGAAAACTAAAACTAACACCTGGATAAGCAGTAACTGTAATTGCTAAAAGCAGACATTTCCATTTTCATGTTATTGTTCATAATAGTGTCAGTGAGGAATAAGACAGTTGGCTGGATTTTGCAGCCTTTACCTACAAGAGGGTGGCGGGCACCTAATTACTATTGTTTCCAACTCAACAGCGGGAGTTTGAACTTTGAAGCTTCCAGCTCTGCCCAGGCCTTGATTTTTTATGAAACAAAACACATAAATGAGGGCAGGGTGGGTTTCCATGTCATCCTTTCAGTCAGTTCAGTCTGACGTGAATTTCTCAAAAAATACACATACAGAAAAAAAAAATGGTTTTGGCAAGTGTAAGAGCTTCAGGGAATTTGCAGTTCGTGCTAGTTTAAGGTACACCCTTCATACCCGCGTCTATATTCAAAAATATAATGATATTCTTGCAGAAGCAGCTGGATACCGGTCTTGTGCCAAGCTGTGTACACAAATAAACTTTTACAAACGCAGATGTGAAATGCTGTGCTGAGACAGACGCGATGATGCAGAGAGATTCCGGTGTGCAATCTAGTGGCTCCACACCCAGAAGTTTCAGGGACAGAACTGATGTTTGAAGAGAAGGGGAGACCGCCCATCCTGTACTTTCATCCGGGAACTATGGAAATGACCCCATTTCCCCAGCATCAGTTTGCCCTCTGCCCTTGGTGACCTGGGCTGAGAGTCAGTCTAGGGCCAGAGGGGGCCAACCGTGCTGTTTGCTATTCAGACCGAGAGAAGGTCTGGAAATCACTAAGGCTTCCCGGGCCGGCAAGGCGACACACCCACCCGGAACCGATGGCCCGGAGGTGCAGCGAAGAAGCAGGGGTGGGGACCCGGCGCCAGGCAGGGGGACCCTGCAGGCTTGCCGCGCGCGCACCAAGATGCTACAACTGGGAACAGGCGCGAATCCCAAGTCCGGGCTAGGAAGTCACGCTACGCTCAGTGGAGGATGCCCTTTTCTCCTCTTCCCCCATCCCCTTTGCAAAGTCAGCGAGAGAAAGTTGTGCCTGGGCCATGGCTGCCAGGACTGGAGGAGGGAACGTAGGCAGGCAGAGAAGGGACGCGGGCCCCCTTACCTTGTCCTTCGGGCCGAGGTTCTGCAACACCTCCTTGCCGGTGGCGCTCCGGATCTCCACCCCGGCGGGGGCGGGCGACGCGGGCGCGGGCTCCCTGCTCTCCTCTCGGCCTTGGCTCCTGCGCGGGGTATCCCCCTCCACCCCGGGTCGGTTCCCAGAGGCGCGGCCGCTGCCCTGGCTGCTCCGGGGAGTCTTGGCGCCCCGCTGCCCCACGCTCAAGGCATCGAAATCTAGCGTCTTGCTCTCGAAGGCGCCCTCCACGTTACAGAACATGCCGCCGTACTTCTGCCGCGGGACCTGATCGGTAGTGCCCGGCCTGGCCAGGTACACCGGCAGATCGTCCTCGTGGGAGCTGTCCCATCCCCTCCGGCCCGAGGCCATGATTCGAGCGCGACAGCGGCCGGCGGGGTTTCTTCCCCAGAGGCGGGAAGGGCAGGCGCCGGCCGGGGG